CTGTCGCCCAGACTGGAGTGCAGTGGCACGCTCCCAGCCACCGCAGCCTTGACCTGCTGGGCTCAGGCGATCCTTCTGCCTCAGCCTTCCAAGCAGCCGGAACTACAGGCGTGCGCTACGACGCCCGGCTAATTTTTGATTTATTGTCGAGATGAGGTCTCACCAAGTTACCCAGGTGGGTCTCGAACCCTCCGGCTCAGGCAATCCAGGGATGTTGTGTTTTTAATTCATCTCCAAGTATTTTCTAATTTCCCTTGTATTTTTTTGACAAATTGGTTGTTAAAGAGTATGTTGTTTATTTCCATATATTTGTGAATTTTCCAGAGTTTCTTCTATTTCTAGCCTCATTCCATTTTGCTCAGATGAAATACTTTATATGATTTCAATCTTTTAAAATTTGGTGATACTTGTTTTGTAGCCTAGGCATATTGTCTAACCTGAAGAATGTTCCCTGTGCATTTGAGAAATACGTGCATTCTGATGTTGGGTGGGTTTCTTTAGATGTTTGTTAGGTCTAGCTGGTTTATAGTGTTTCCAAGTCTTCTATTTCCTTGCTGATCTTCTGTCTAGTTGTTCTATCCATTATTGAAAGTGAGATATTGAGGTCTATTATTATTGAACTATTTTTCCTTTAATTCTGTTCATCTTGCTTCATGTATTTTGGGCTCTGTTAGTTTTTAGATACAAACATGTTTGTAACTGTTATATCTTCTTCATGGATTCACCCTTATATCATAATAAATGACCTATTTGTCTCTCATAACAAGTTTCATGTTAAAGTCTATTTGCCTGCCACCAATATAGCCATTCAGGCTCTCTTCTAGCATTATTTGCATGGAATATCTTTTCCTATCTTTTTATTTTCAAGCTATTTGTGTCTTTGATTCTAGGTTGAAACTCTTGTAGCATCATAATGGTTGGATCATTTTTTAAAAAATCTCTTAGGCCAATCATTGCCTTTTAATTTAAGTTACTTTTACATTTAATGTAACTACTGATGAGAAAGAGCTTATGTCTGCCATTTTGCTACTTGTTTTTTATGTCTTTTATCTTTTTTGATCCTCAATTCCTTCATTTTGCTTCCTTTTGTATTAAATATATGATCTTACATATTTCCTAGGATATAATTTTAAATCTGTATCACTTTTTACTACATTTAAAAATTTATTTTCTTAATAGCTGCCCTGCAGATTACAATTTTTATATTAATTTGTAGCAATCTATTTCAGATTAATCCCAAATTAATTTCAATAATATATAAGCAGTTTTCTCTTATTTAGTTCCATATCCTTTATATTGTATTGTCACAAATTACATCTTGAAACATTGTGAGCCGTTCAACCTATATTTTAATTATCGCTTTATACAGCTATCTTTAATTTACCTAGGAAAAAAGAGGAGTTTTAAAAAATACATTATTTGTCAGGTGCAGTGGCTCATACTTGTAATCCCAGCACTTTGGGAGGCTGAGAGGATTGCCTGAGCCCAGGAGTTGGAGACCAACCTGGGCAACATGGTGAGACCTCATCTCTACAATAAAAAAAAAAAAAAATTAGCAGGTGTGGTAATATATGCCTGTAGTCCCAGCTACTTGGAAGATTGAGGTGGAAGACTCGCCTGAGCCAAGGAGATCAAGGCTGCAGTGGCTTGACCATGCATTGCACTGCAGCCTAAGCAACAGTGACTCTTACTCAAAAAAGAAAACACACACACACACAAACACACACATATGCATATTAATACTGTCTTTTATTATAGGTAACTACTTAGGTAGTTACCTTTACCCATGTTCATTATTCCTTCATGTGATTTCAAGCTACTGGCTAATATTCTGCTTTTTTTTTTTTTTTTTTTTGAGTTGGAGTCTCACTCTGTCGCCCAGACTGGAGTGCAGTGGCCGCTCCCGGTCACTGCAGCCTCGACCTGCTGGGCTCCGGCGATCCTTCCGCCTCAACCTTCCAAGTAGCCGGAATTACAGGTACATGCTACCATGCCCGGCTGATTTTTTGATTTATTGTAGAGATGAGGTCTCGCTGCCCAGGCGGGTCTCGAACCCGCGGGCTCAGGCAATCCACTCACCTCAGCCTCCCAACGGTGCCGGATTACAGGCTGAGCCACCAAGCCTGGCTCTGGCTAATATTCTTTCAACCTGAATAGCATTTCTTACTGGGCATGTCTCATTTCTTTTAGAGTCATCATCATTGTCTATTTTTTGTATTTACTCCATTTGTATTCTCGAGTAGTTTCCAAAAATTTTTGAAGAGGGAAATAAATAGAAGTCTTTAACTGGCCCACTGTTTGTCAGGTTTGGGAGTATTAGAAAGACTGTACCAGATGTTGATGAGTTTTAGTATGGCTCAAGCAACTGGGGTAAGGGTTAGAATCTTCATTTCTTCCCCTCTCACCAATTTTTTTTTTTTTTGAGTTGGAGTTTCACTCTGTCACCCAGACTGGATTGCAGTGGCTGCTCCCGGCCACCGCAGCCTCGACCTGCTGGGCCCCGGCGATCCTTCCGCCTCAGTCTTCCAAGTAGCTGGAACTACAGGCGCGCGCTACCAAGCCCGGCTAATTTTTTTGACTTATTGTAGAGATAAGGTCTCACCAAGTTGCCCAGGCGGGTCTCGAACCCACGAGTTCAGGCAATCCACTCACCTCAGCCTCTCAAAGGCGCGGGATCACAGGCTGAGCCACCGAGCCCGGCTTCTCACCAATTTTTGAAATGTATTATGTTGTGCTGCTTTCTTGTCTGATTAGTTTTGGTGAAAAACATTTGTAAGTTTTACTTTTTAAATGCTCATTTGCTTAGTATGGGGGAGGGCAATTCTATGAGGATATTTGAAATTTTCAGAATTATTTCGTTCATAATCAAAGATTGCATGAACACTGGATGTTTTAAATCTCTTCAGTAGACCAGCCATGTGAAAAACTAGTATCACTTGCACATTCGTAGCAGTCTATCCTTGCCATGTAGAGTATATCCCACACTTCGTACATCTGTGAGAAGTTTTTGATGCAACTTCTTTAGGGATAATGAGCCAATCGGATGTCTGGCTGCTGCCCTCTGGCTTGCCCAACAGAGAGATGATGTCTGAGTGTCTCTGGCAGCTTCTTGCAGAACTCTTCACTGAGATTAGGCCTTTTCTTCCTGGAGTGAAACCTTCAGGGGTGGGTCTGTCTGAAAGCTGCAGGAAAACATAAGATTTCTGTTGAGAAACCTCTGTTTCTGTCATCCTGGGTATCCTCCATCAATCTCATGGGATTTTTATGAGGATTAAATGAGAAAATAGATGTATTTTTCCAAAGTGCTTTTACAGCAATGGCACACAACAGAAGGTATTGCTATTGCACTGCACCAAGTCTCTATTGACCTAAAAGCCTTTTAGAAAAAGTAATGAAAAGACAAACACCTTAAGAAGGTTTCATTGTGCTAATTACTTCCTGGCAGAGAACAAGGTCCTCTGTCTACCTCATTTACCATCACTTAGATCAGGTATTATGCAGAATAATTCTCTTTAGCAAACAACAGCCCTTCTGGAATCTAGAATGTTAAGGGAACCCTAATGGAGATAGAAACTAGTTGCCATGCATAGGAAAAGATCATGGGGTAAACCCTTGCCTTTACTTTGATCTGTGCCAGATAACTGTAAAAAAAAAAAAAAAAAAAAGCTTGGGTTGTTTCTCCATCTTTTTTTTCTTCATATCTATATGGGGATGCTGCTTTCTAGTAATTATGAGTATTAACTGAACAATTTATTACTCACCAGTTCTGACCTGTGACCACAGTTTGTGCATGCCTCTCTCCCTAGTCTGGATAACTCAATCTTTCCAAAGTCATGGCTCTGATGGAAACAAGTCACACACGAGTCCAGCAGACTCGGACAAAGGGCTTAGATTTTTCAGACACTTGGCTCAACACTGAGAAAAGTGACTAGGGCTATCTTGGCCCACCACAGGAAGAACTTGAAGCATTCCGGCCAATTATGGTTTCTGTACTCAGTAGGCAACAAATGACTGGAATCAAGTGGCATTGAGAATAAGAAAGAAACTGTTCATTTATGCAATAGGAAATTGGGTGGGCAGAACTGCAACTCAGCTTCCAGGCCCCTGTGAAGTCAGTTCATCAGGAACCCAGCATAGAACCAGGTTTGAAGACGGGAGAGGCCAACATTATTCTAGAAGACATGCTGTCTTCTTTCCCATCTGAGTTTGATGCCGCTTGTTTTGTTACACAAATATGCCCTTGAGTTGTCTATCCAACACTGGAGCCTTTTACCCAGGTCCATCTACACTTTCTACCCCCAAATTCCCTGTGAAAAATTGCATACCGATGTCAGACACCTCTTGTACACCACACCCAACCCCTAGTCCTCTCAGCCCCAACCACTTTCTTTAGCACTGACAACCCTCACTTTGGGTCTGCAAAGTATTACCTCTTGCTTTTTACCCAGAGGATAGAACCTACTTGGGACTCATGCATGTGTAACCTGGAAATGTGGGCAGCCAATACCTGTGGGGCTGCCTTTGACAAATAGGTGCCAATAGAGAAATGCCCCCTTTTCATCCATGGTACAGGTGGTTTTGAGATCCATTTCATAAGCTTCCTCAGAAGTTCTTGCTGAATGCACACCCCTGCCCTTGGTGCTGACCAACCTGATAATGCACCCTTGTATTTGGCCTCCCTCCTTCCCTGTTCTCATCCCCTCTTCTTTACTCCTGCTTCCTGGGATCTCCTTCCCAAGTAAATTGCTTAACTAACTGCACAGAAGCTCTGGTCTCAGGCTCTACTTTCAGGAGAACCCAGGCTACAACATTTGTGCAAGAAGCTTGGCTCAGTTCATAATCAATTAATAGAGTGAAGATTTCTAGTACACAGGAACTAAATATTACCATTAGAGATTAATCCCAACCATTGCTAGAATTAATCCAAGCTGACAGAGAAAAGTCAGGTGATGGTGTGCACAGGCTCATCAAATTCTGGAAATAAAGATTGTAGACAGTTGTTGTTATTTAAAAAGTCATTTTACTTATTAAAACTTTCTCATTTCCCAAGGCACTTCAGTAGCTTTCACAAAAATGTTTTCTTTTTTTTAATCAAGTGAAGCACATGCTTTGTAAGTGCCACAGTAACATAATCAGCAAAGAGAAGACAATTTCACTAAACGCAAAATATCTCCAATAATGTTACATGACTGAAGTGAGCAAGTGTGAAAGACTGTGAGCACAATTTACATTTCTTTTTTGTAATTTTTTTCCTATGACTAGGTATCACAAGAGGAACACACACAATGACATTGTTTTTGGCACTCAGAGAAGTGCTAGAGGCTAAGGTTAGCAAGGCCTTGCACCCGTGACAATTGCAGACCATTGCCAGAGTGACTCTGTGATAAAATTAAAAAAGACACAAACCAGGAACCAGCCTTTCACAAGTCTATTCTGAAGGGCAAATAACTTAAGGAGAAAAAGGTACAACAACAAAAAACAAAACAAAACCAACCCCACATTACAGTTTTGAGAGATAGTTGCTTGTCTCTCTCATTGATATACTTCCTTCAAACTGTACATAAGAAGCTATAGAAGCAAAGTTTGATTTACACAGTAGTGGAAAACAAGAATAGTAGATTCAACAATGCATTTCTCATGGGTCTGGCAAGCCCAGGTCTCTGATCAGGTGTAAACAAGTCTACCTAGTAGTCATCTGAGTGGTCCAAGAATTCACAAGTCAATGTACTTGCCCATGTTCTGTTCATTCTCCTCATTCTCATTCTCCTCCACTTTCATTACCTTTATGTTTCCCTATACCCTGTGCTCTCCTGCTCTGGGGAAGCAACAATCCCAGCTAATGTTCTTTGTAACTAAGAAAAGGTAAGAAATCAAACTCGCTGTGAGATGATTTCTTGTCCTCTAACGTTCACCATTAGAGAGAAGTAAGGGATGGGGGAGAGGGGTTTAGACCTCTAGTCTTATTAGGGCCCTTTACAAAAAAATTACAATGCCAACCTAGCAGATGCGTCTTCTATTCCTCCACATCTCACAGGTTCTAGTGAATAATTAACTTCTTAGAAAGTGCCAAGTCCATCAATGTAATAGTTAGGACTTATCTGAAATTGTCTGTAGGTAGCCATGGTGTCTCTAGAGGAAGGTGGTATTCTAGGACCATATGCAGCCTCTGAGTGTGGGTGTCCATCCATGAGCAAGTCAGACACAGTTCAAGAGAATAAACAGCAAGGCCTTTGTCACGGAAGGACTCAGAATCTGCACAAGCCATTTCTGACAATTCTTTAGTTTCTCACTGGATGCTGTGTTAGAAGGCTGTGCTTTTAAGGACTTTGGGGCTTTCTTCACCATCTTTTAGCATCCTTGTGTGACTTGGAGTCTGCCTGTATTTTATTCTATAAAAATAAGCAAAACAAGTATTAGTAACAAATCTTAAAAAGATGCCTACCAGTCTCAAAACAAACAAAAACTGAGGATATCTTCACTAGGAAAAAAAAATCACACAGCAGATTCTGAAAGATTTCTCCAGCCTCTGCACTATCCCAGAACTGCTGTTGTCATGGAGTGACATGTCCACACAGGATTAGACCAGAGGATAGGCTGTAAGTACCTTGCCATTTATATACCCTTTGATGGCTAAACTAGTCCATGACATTTGTGAGAGCTTGGGGAGGGCGGTACTGCAAGGAAGAGGTTCCTAAGACCTGGCCAGGCCCAGACTGAGTGCATCAACACCGTAAGGAAGGAGGCTTTCTTACCCTTTGACCCTTAGCATCTGGTCAATGGTGTCTGGGAGGGGGGTACCGAAGCTCTCTGGAAGAAATAAGGTGAGGATGGCTGTCAGGATGGTCAGACTTCCCATGAGAATGTAGGGCAGGAAGCGGTCATAGGCACCTATGGCAAAGTAGACAGAGCGCCAAGCCCAGGGTTGCAGTTAGATTTAGTTTCACTCCATCCCTTTATGCTCCCAGGACTTTCTATATAAGGGAATCACCTTCCTTCTTAGTCTCACACTTCCCACTGTCTGAGCTACCGGGTTGGAATGTGGAACCTAGACAGGTTTCAGAACCCAGAGCTGGCACAGACCTGCCATGTGGTTCCCAGAAGTCCAACAGGGCTCCACAGTGCAGGGGAGGAGTGTGGGGGGAGGAGAGAAGCCCAGCCACGATAATTATTCCTATTTTCCAATGCTGGGTTTCCAAAAAACTTGAGGCATTTATTCGGGGACAGGAACAACTCTTCCACCTCTGCAGATATGTCACAACCTGTATGTTTTGCCTTCAAGTTAGACAAGGTGTTTCTGCTTGTTATTTCTAGCATGTTCACAAAGCATTTGGGGTACTCTCAGGCTAGTTGTCATCCTTCCCAGAGGTACTGGGTAGGGATGAGCAGGAAAATGGCAGGTATCATGAGGACATAATTTTGAGAAGAAAATCAGAGCTCTGCTACATAAAATGGCATAAGGCAGATCTTTATACAACATTAAAACCACTGTGTAGTACTCCAAGTTACAATAATTCTCAGTTCACCAGATCTCTTAAATGGATACCTTTCCCCTCTTCTTCTTTTTATTTTTTTTTTCCAAATTGTATTTAATTAATTTTTTTGAGTTGAGAGTCTCACTCTGTTGCCCAAGCTAGAGTGCAGTAGCACACTCATGGCACCGCAGCCTCGACCTGCTGGGCTCAGGTGATCCTTCTGCCTTAGCCCTTCAAGTAGCTGGAACTATAGGTGAATGCCACCACACCTGGCTAATTTTTTGATTTCTTATAGACACATGGTCTTGCCAAGTTGCCCAGGCTAGTCTCGAACCCCTGGGCTCAGGCAATCCTCTCTTGCCTCCACCTCCCAAAGTGCTGAGATTACAGGCATGAACCACTGTGCCTGACCCCTCATGTTCCTTTAACATGCTGATTCCAAGAAGAAATTTCTCCAACTAAGTACCTGGCTCCCTAGATTATTCTATAGTTTCTTAGGACAAAGGAACTGTAGTGTCTGATAGAATGCCTGTAATGGTTAAAATAAAACCCTCTAATTCTCTCATCAGTTTCTAGCTAGTCTATACATTGTTTTCCATTTGAAAGCTAGTGTCTCCCCCACAGTGCACCCAGACAAGAGCTATCCCCAGCCACAGATCCAGTACCAGATGGAACCCACTTGCTCTATGCTTGTTTTCAAGCTATCTTCAGCTCACACTACAGCCAATCAGTGCTCTTCTTCCATCACTCCAGTGTGCCCTTGGATCATGGGACTTACCAAGGTAAACAAAGTAGGGAGACAGAATGCTGCCCAGGCGGGATGCTGTGGAGCTGACCCCCACACCCATGTTTCTGACCACTGTAGGGTACAGCTCAGCGGTGTACACATAGACCATAGAAAAGGCAGCCGTGACTCCAAACTTGCCCACCATCACCAGGATTGTGGCCAAATAATGCAAGTCTGGAAAAGAGAAGGAAAGAAGGTAAGAGTAGGCACTAACCCAACGCACACAGCTATCGAGAGTTTTTTTTTATTTATTTATTTTGACTGAAACAAATATACTTTTCCCCCAAATTTTTTGGGGGGGGTAGGCCTGGATCAGTTTCTATTACTTCCTATTGTAAAATAAAGGGCTATAGCCAAGACTTCCCTCCAAGTTGCTCACTGAAAGGAGGCTAGGGACCTGCAGGTATGTAAGGACATGTATTTCCCTGTGCTTAGAGACCACCAGAATAAGCTCCTTAATAGCCCAACCAACTCATTTTCCAGGCTGGTAAACATAAAAGACATGTCTACCAGGGAGTTAGCTATCACCCCAGAGCCTCATACTATAAGCACTACGGAATTGGTTGATGACTTTCAGATTAATGGAGAATTCAATTCTAACTCATTTCATGCTTTCATTTTACTCAGACTTCAAAAAATTCATCAACCATCAGAAACTTGGGATGGTTCTCCAATCTATCGTTCATTTTTTTTTTTTTTTTGAGTTGGAGTCTCACTCTGTCGCCCAGACTGGAGTGCAGTGGCCGCTCCCGGCCACCGCAACCTCAACCTGCTGGGCTCCGGCGATCCTTCCGCCTCAGCCTTCCAAGTAGCCGGAATTACAGGCATGCGCTACCACGCCCAGCTGTTTTTTTTTTTGATTTATTGTAGAGATGAGGTCTCGCTGCCCAGGCGGGTCTTGAACCCGCGGGCTCAGGCAATCCACTCACCTCAGCCTCCCAAAGGCGCGGGATTACAGGCTGAGCCACCGAGCCTGGCTTTAGTCTATCTTTCATACTGTGCAGATGACAGATGCTGTGTGTGACCTAAGGGTAACTCTGAGCCCAGGTGTGAACCTCTCCATGGTTTCTGGGGTCTTTCTGCCACACCACAAAGGGAGTCCTATTTTTGTGCAGTGTTCCTAGCTTGATGGATCTAAAACTGACCACCAGAGGCTCCCAAATCCACAGGCACACTGAGGACTCTGGGCACAGTGAGGGACACATGAGAGCCCAACGGCTGTTCTATAAATTGTTGGAAATGACTACCTCCCACCCATCTGTGCAACACAAACACAGTTTTAGAAATAAACTCTTGCTGGTGGCCTGGGAGACCCTCTCTGTGACCTCCCCCCTCCCCCCTTCTCTTCATCTCTTACTTGCTCTCCTCTTCTCAAACACGCCCGGCTTACTCCCAGCTCAGGATCATTGCCTTCACTATTTCTTTTTCCTGAAATGTTCTCCTAGACTTTCTCTGTCATTTCTTGTACTTTTCTGTTGAACTGCCCCCTGTCCAGGGGCATTGCAAAACGTGTATGTAAACTAACTCCCCATTGTTCTTTATTTTTATTCATGAAGGTAACACAATCTGAACTACAGTAAGCACTTTATTTACTTGTTTGTTATCTTTTTTTTTGATTAAGGTGTGAGTTCCATGAGGGCCTGATGTTTTGCCTGACTTGTTTACTTTTGGATTGTTAGTACCACGCACAGTATCTAGCCCACAGTAGGCACTCCACAGCTATTTGTTAGACAGGACCAGGAAAAAAAGGAAGTAATGGGATGACTATTTCTTCCCCCTGTACTCTAGAGTAGAAAATAAATATGAACACATTAACTTGAGTATAGAGTAAAATTAACCACCTCAATGGTCGCTCTTTCCCACTTTCCAAAGCCTAGGGTGTGAAGTGCACTGGTCTCAGAAGGCATTGTCTCTTGATTTTTAGGCCAAGAGTGCATATACACAGGGGATCTGTGGTGGGCTTGATTTTATTCTCTTTATCAATTGGGGAAGACTGCCTGGCAGAGAGTGAGTGACTCAATGAAGACCCAAGACTACAGATGCACATTGTCCCTACCTGGGGGCACCAGCTGCACGAAGAGTAGGACTCCTCCACCCAGGAAGAGAGCAGTGGCCATGGAATAGCGTCGGGGCAGATGCCTCAGCAGCAACCAGGCCAACACATACGCTGGGACTTCCACCACCGCCGAAAGGAAGCAGTTCACATAGATGTCCCCATGCAAGTTAGGGGTATCAAGGGAAAGCCCGAAATAGCCCACTGATATGGTCATCCTGAAACAGAGTGCAGAAGAAAACTGGAAACGCAATAACCACATCTCTTCTAACCTGCACAACTTTAAAAATGCAATTATTTCAGTGAATTCTAAACTACTCTTTAAGCAGAGAATAGGAAGGCAGCAATAGATTTAACCCTGCATTTTACTTCAAAGAACAAAAGATAACTTCCCCAAGCCCAGGTGGTATGGTGTAAACTCTGTATCAGTGCACTTTCAGAGCATTCCATACAGAAAGTGTCCCAGCAAAAAAACTTATATAATTCAGATAGATTTACTTAATTGAAAAAAGTTCCAATTTGCCTTATGGCTTTAAAAATTCTAAGCTGAAGCACTTACAGAAGCCTCCAACTCTACTCTCTGAAGCTCCGAAAATCCAGCAAACACAGAATGAGTAAGAAGGCAGATATCAAGTGAGGTAGGATAAGACTGAGGGGATGAGGGACATTAGCTCAAACATCTGAACATTCAATAAGAGGCTGGTCAGAAGCAGCTGACACCAACCCCACTTGTGGAGAAGAGAGGGAGCACCCACTGGTGGGACCACACTGTCTCTCATTGGTATGCCTCCCAATGTTCCTGGCCTCCCAATGCTCCTCCCAGTGTCCCAAGTAGGCATTCTCTCTGTAGATAACACACAATCTTTGGCAAACTAGACCTTTGTGGATCAGACTGTTTTTTTACTCATCTGCAGGTTGAAAACACAGCTGGCATGATTTTAAAAAAAGAAATATGTACATGAGTCCCTGGGAAATCCAGAGCAGGGAGGAGAGCCTGGGTGAGCCACAGAGTGGGTGACTCATTGCAGGTGGGCAAGTCTGTGGTGCAGGCTACATGCTGGGCCTGGCTTGAGGCCGACTCAGGGAGTGGTACACTGCCCAAAGGGATCTTGGGCCATTCCTTGGAAATGTGTGACTCATAGATTCCCCCCCCCCCCAGTAAACAAAAGGGCTGACTGCCCCAAAGCTGGGTGAATCTAGCAATAGGACTTTGAGATGAAGTCTGCCCTCCTCACCCATCTTATCACCCAGCAGGCTTGAGTAGAAGAAGCCTGTAATCCTCCAGGTCTGGCCACTGAGCAAAAGCTTTCCAAACACTAAGATGTGTTTCCTCTCCCTGGTAACTCACAACCCCTTCCTGACATACTTTTTGAAAAGCCTTGTTAGAAGGAACCTGGTGGGGCACACCTTATCAACAAGGGTACCTGCATAATGAACATTTGTATACCTAATCCTGAATTGTACCCCACATATTTATTTATTTTAATTTTTAATGTTTTTTTTTAAAGTTGGAGCTTCATTCCTTCGCCCAGGCTGGAGTTCAGTGGCACACATGCTCACGGCCAGCCCAGCATCGACCTGCTGGACTTCGGCGATCCTTCCACCTCAGCCTTCCAAGTAGCCGAAACTACAGATGCGTGCTACCACGCCCTGCTATTTTTTATTTTATTGTACAGACAAGGTCTCACCAAGTTGTCCAGGCTGGCCTCGAACCTGCAGGCTCAGGCAATCCACTCACTTTGGCCTCCCAAAGTGCTGGGTTTATAGGCTGAGCCACCGAGCCTGGCTGTTCCCCACATATTTAAAAGAAAACAAAAGGAACCTGGTGAGGACATCTAGACTGATTCCAGGACATTCTCTGAACATCCCAGAAAGAGCATGTCCTGCTTCCACAGCAACCTCTGTAGCCTAAAGGGCAGGGTATCTTCAACAATTCTTTTAAAAAACTTTATCTGTCCTCTTCAGCCACTGTCTATGACTGGGAGGGGTTAGGGGACAGGAATTAAACAAAGACGAAGCGAGCAAAGATCCACCTCTTTGAGGACTTGGAGAAATGCCCAAAGATCCCATATTTCCCAAAACAGCCTGCACAATAGTCTCCATTCTCCTTTTCTGAGATTCTGTCACATTAAGAATTGTGACATACCTTAAGGAATAAGATAGACAAGTGGGACCTCATCAAACTAACAAGCTTCTGCAAAGCAAAAGAAATCATCAAGAGAGCAGGAAGACAGCCCACAGAAAGAGAAAAAATATTTTCCAACTGTGTATCTGATAAAGGCCTGACATCTAGGATCTACAAGGACCTTAAATGTGCTGAAAGGAAAAAAAAAAGCAGCCCCATTAAAAAGTGGGCAAAAGACATGAACAGATACTTCTCGAAAGAAGATATACAGGCAGCCAACAGACATGAAAAAGTGCTCAGCCTCACTCATCACCAGAGAAATGAAAATCAAAACCACACTGAGATACCGCCTAACCCCAGTAAGAATGGCCATCATTAATAAAACAAACAACAGATGCTGGTAAGGATGCAGAGAAAAAGGAACTCTTCTACACTGCTGGTGGGAATGCAAACTAGTGCAACCTGTTTGGAAGACAGTGTGGCAATTTCTGAAAGAACTAGAAATTGACCTTCCATATGACCCAGCAATCCCTCTATTGGGAATATACCCAGAGGAACTCAAATCATTCTACAAAAAAGATACCTGCATACGTATGTTTGCTGCAGCTCTAATCATAACAGCAAAAACATGGAACCAACCATGCTGCCCATCGAAGCTGGACTAGATAAAAAAAAAAATGTGGTACGTATACACAATGGAATATTATGCAGGCATAAGGAAGGACAAACATGGACTTTGTAGCAACTTGGATGGATTTACAGTCAATCATACTCAGTGATCTATCACAGAAACAAAGAACAGGGTACCATATATTCTCACTCATAAGTGGACCTTGAACAATTATAATACTATAAGCAAAGGATTGGCAGTAGTGGGAAATGGTCAGGGGAGGGAGGTGGGATTAGCAGTTGAGGGTAACTGCCAGGGGAGGGAGGGGTACACCTCATCAACAAGGGTACCTGCATAATCAATGTTTGTATACCTAACCCTGAAATTGTACCCCACATCTTTATAATAAAAATAAATAAATAATTAAAAAAAATTTTTTTAAAGCTTTTACCATTACAATCTAATAAAACATAGTCACTGGACAGAAATATAGTCATTGAAAAAATGTCCATTTCTTCCATCCTTCTCAAGCTATTTCCCTTTTACTTTCTGATGACATAGACTTTCAGTTTTAGTCTGAGGCATATCTTACAGATGAGAGGCTCAATGGCCATTTCCAGAAGTTTGTTCTGGAAGCCTCAGGTAGGTCTCACTTACGCACCACAGAATTATGGACATGATGGTGACTATCCGGATATTCCATGTTCGGATCAGATCCAGAATGCTGTGGGACTGCTGCTTCTTGGAACTTAGGTCCTGTAACTGCAAGAACAATATGATAAGTGTACGGGAAGGAGAGAAGGTTGGAGATTCAGAGCATACATGAACATACTCAAATCCCTGGCATCTTGGCTATCTGCACCTCAGAGTTGGGGAATGTTAAGTCTCTTCCTTAAAAAGAACACTAAGTATGGTGACTATATTTTGGGCTGCTGAAAGCTTCCCCAGGCCTCGTCAATAACAAATGAGAGTGAACAAGAATGAGGAGGGAAAGTAGGTGAGCAGTCCCTCAAGAGTGCAGTGAAGGCAGAAGCCTAGGCTGTCCACTCCCTCGGTGCACAACCCCACCCTCCAGTCAGCGGCCACATTCCAGGGAGGCCTCTAAGCATGCCTTCCCTAGGCTGGCTCCCTGCCCAGAGCAGAAAGAGAAGCTGGCTATGTAGTTTATTGATCTGATATTTTCTAAAAGTTAATGTTTTGAGTCCCTATACCATGTAGTTACTGGTCTGCTTCCAGGGAAAAAGTATTCAAATAGAAAAACAGGAAAATTGACCTGAGCTTCACCCAGAGTGACTTCCTATGAAATTCTGCATGACCAAGGCCATTAATAAACCGCACGTCTAAACATACTGATGTTGCTTTCTTAAGCAAACCCAGCTTTGGAGCTTGTTTTTCCAGAGTTAGAAGTTCAATGAAAGGTCAACTTCTGACTTAAAGGATCCCCTGAAATAGCCTCATTTCCTCAAAGATGCCAGTGAAACTTATGGGTTCACCCAGATTGATCCTTCTTAAAAGCCGCCAAAGTCACCTTATTTAAAAGTCCTCTGCCACATTCCTGCCCTGACCAGGGTGCATCAGACCCCTTTCCAGTGAGTGCTGACAGTGGCTGCTGGGCCACTACCTCACCGAGAAGCCAGGAGGGCTGTCAGTGGTCATCTATCTCTCTGCTGCCTCCAATAACTGGCCCCTCTTTCCCAAGGTCTCTAACATGCTGGCTGCTCACACTTCAGCATGACCGTGTGCTGCTCTTCCCAGACAGTCCCTCATCTTCCTGTCACACCAGAGACACATTCCAGAACCACACTGGTCAGCACTTGCAGCTTAGTCATGAGACTGAGGAAAACTGCCTGCTGCAGAGAGGGTAGGAGAAGAGGGAACAGGAAGGAAAAGCAAGAACCAGGAACTAGGCAGAGCCAAGAAATTACTCATGGTATGTGAGAATAGGGTTTACAGGGACGGGTCGGGGAAGACATCAAAAAGGGCCTGATAAGATGCAATAACTAACCGTTGGAGGGCAGAAAGAGACTAAGCACTTCTTTCTCCCTCTGCCTCCATTTTTTCTTCTTTTTAATGAATAACTGCTCATACTTAAGAAACTGAACATTCTAACTTCATCTTTTTATGCTTTACATTTTATGTTCTAGATGATCTTTTTAAGATGACAAACCACCTTAAGCATAAGAAACAATGATATCCCAAAATGCTGACTTTATGAAAGCTCTATTAATCATAAAGGGTATTTATCATTAAAAGCCATGGTTAAAATATACGACTGCCTAGAACAGAAGTAAATGATGAAAACCAAAAATCCATAGGAACGGTGAAAAGAGTTAGGCAGTTGTAACCTATTCCTCCTCTTCTGAGTTTCAGCAGGGCCTGCCTTGGGGATAGCTGGGGCTCAGGCAGGGAGACGGCTGGGAACCTGTGAGCAGGGAGGACTTCAGGACTAAGTGATGCTGCCCTCAAATCATGGCCACTCTGTCCCTCCAACCAGCTTCCACGTGGTACTTACCTCACTTGGGTCAAAGATGGTGGAGGGAGCAACAATCCCATTGATTTTGGCAGCCTTGTGGATGATTGCCTCCGCTTCTGTAAATCGCCCCTGATATATGAGCCATCGGGGGGACTCAGGGATGAACCTGGAAGTACAAGGAGCAGTCTCAGGAAGGCCTCCCTGCCGCGGCTGACCAGTAGACAGATAGGTACAATTGGAGGTGGGAAATGAGGATTCAGAGCCAGAGCGAGGCCTGTGGAACACTTGGTGTTCACAAGCCAGAAGCAAAGAGATGGTCCACACCCAGTAATAACCTGAGGTGTGAGCTCTTCACTACACTGCAGTACATAAAATTTGAAGGACCTTGTGTACCCTGATGGGATTGTGCTGCTAGCTGGACAACTCCATTTCCAAAGAGCAGTGGTGCCACCTCCTGGGCTCTGAGGAGACAGACTCAAGGTGGGTTCTTGAAGTCTGGCTTTTGTGGATGTCTTAGGCCAGCTCAGATCCTGCTATATTCCCCTTCTTGTCCCTGGGACCCACAGAAGCTTCTCCACTGGCCTCTTTGCCTCTATTTTTTCCTCTCCCCAGTCCTGATTTGTCCAGCAGAGTGGTGAGACTCTCTACCTAAAATAGCATGTGCATCAAGGCACTTGAGTGCTTTAAGTCTATGGATATCTTCTATCTCGCCGTGACCAGGTAGCCCCCTACTCTTACATCATGACCAGGTCCCATGATGTGCTGCTTCCCACTATGTCCTGAAATGCTCTCCACTCCACATGGGCCAGTGATCTCACCTGCCCCACATGTAAGTGGTGATTCCTGCCTCGGCTCCTCTACTGTGTTCCCTCTCTTGGTATGGAATGGTATCTCCTCTGCCTGTTCAACTCATCTACTGGGAGATGTGGATGGAGCCTGGCTTCCTCCATGCAGCCACCCTGAAGACTCTCAGTTTTGGTGTATTCCCTCTTCTGCCAGTGCCTGTAGCATGAGGTTTCAGCAACACACAGCAGAACCAGGGTCTATACTGGTCCTGCCCTAGGGTTTGGGAACTTCCCAGAGGGCATGCTGTACCCCATCTTTTCATAGCTACTGCTTCCTCTCCTTGCACTTAGATCGACCCAGCCCAGGGCTGAGAACAAGTCTGTTGATATCTTAGGATTCTGTTGTTTTGTCTCTTTAGAATGTGGAGAAAACATTCTGAAACAACTTATAAATAATCTATTTTTCTGATCTCTGGGAACCCAAGTGGGAATTTGTGGGTTGATGCTGCCCTCTAGTAAAGATGAGACAGAAGTCAACCTGCCAGTGGGCACCACAGGACAGAGGGCCACACTCACCACCAGAGTGCTGCACACAGCACTCCCGGCACCGTCAGCGCCAGCAGCAACATCCGCCAGTCTCTGATGAAGTAAGCAAACAGTGGCAGAACCATGTAGCCAAATGCATAAAATATGCACACTCCTAATGTGGAGAATATAATACGAACTGACTTGCCAAGAATTTCTGTCCCTGTTCAAAACAAGGGAGGAGTCAAGTTAGCATTTTAATGTGGGTTATGTCCTTATTAATCTTCTATGGTATCATTTTCAACACAGAGACAAGAAAACAGCCTGAATTATCTCTAAGTTTTCGAGCACCCAGATTCTGAAACCAAGCCAGCCTGACCATTTGGGTGCGGGTGCCCTCCTGTGGTCTCTCGGGCTTTTTTTTTTTTTTTAAGTAGGAGTCTCACTCTGTCACCCAGGCTAGAGGGCAGTGGCACGCTCATGGCCACTGCAGCCTTGACCTGCTGGGCTCAGGTGATCCTTCTGCTTCAGCCTTCCAAGTAGCTGGAACACCAGGAGTGCACCACCACGCTCAGCTAGTGTTTTGATTTATTGTAGAGATGAGGTCTCACTATGCCCAAGCTGGTGTCAAACCCATGGGCTCAAGCAAACCTCTCGCCTCTGCTTCCCAAAGTGCTGGGATTACAGGCATGAGCCAATGTGCCCGGCCTCTCTCAGGCTCTTAGTAACAGTTCTCTCAAGAAAATTTCACCACTTTCTGAAGTTGCATGCTAAAGATGCCATAGTAGGCCCTCTTTAATTGTATCATGAGAAAGAATTCATTAATTCATTAAGAAGTCATTACTAAAGTTGCACTTGCTAACTATTATGCTACAAGAAAAGAATATTTTATTAAATGTGAAAAGAAAAACATAATCCTTTCAATGATACAACTCAAGGAACCCAAAGATTTTATCAGTGAGAGTCAGATTCAGTGAGGCCAGCAACTTTTCAGTAAAAAAAAAGTTGCCAGTCTCATTTCTGGCAGAGTCAGAGCCCTGCAGTGTGTACTCTGAATTAAAACCCTGAAAGCCCATTCCTATCAATTTATTCTCATCTGTAGACACCATCAGCGATGTACTCTACAGACAAGGCAGTTTTCTCTGTTGGTGAGACTGCCAATCACGGCCCTTACTGTTCACACCATGCCTCCCTCTTTCCCTAACTGCCGCAGCTCTGTGCAGTGGGAGGCCCTTTTATAAATGGATGATCTCTGGTGAATCCTAGTAAAGTGGCCATCAAGTACCAATAAGACCAAGGAGCCACACTTTGGAGGCCAGAAGAGAACTGGAAATCAGAAGTCAGGCTATCGTGCTGCTGGGGACCCAAGGCTGACCACTTATCTGGCTCAGTTTTCCTGCCTAGAAAAAGGGCTCACTAGGAAGTTCTAGCTGGTTCTGCTAGAAATCACTTCCCTTTGAGGGACATCACAGCTGTCTCCAGAAAGGTGGGTGGTGGGATGACAGTGAAACACAGGATCAAGTACTCAACTCCAACCTGATGGCCATACCCAGGACAAATGCTGCCACATAGTTGGAGATCTGGCCCATGCCTACAAGGACAAACAGCACGACAAACATCTCAAAGTTCTTCGAGAAGATCTGCAGGAAGCTGAAGCCTGTCTGCATGCCCATGGTCACAAACAGTACATTCTTCCGACCAAACCTGGGAAGGAAAGGAGAGTGACAGAACCAGCTGGAAAAAGGCAGCAGGAATGAGCTCCACCAAGAAGAGTTATCCCCAGATCCATTTGGGGTGGGGGTGGGGGGTCATGGACAGTATTGCCAGGGACAGTCCTAGTCTCACAGTCCCCATGTTGTTACTCCCCATCCCCACTCCCCAGGATGGGTGTATAGCCTAGGCACCAGGGTTACCAAAAAAGCAGTGCCACAATTATCATAATCATTGCAAGAGACTGAAAGATATCAATTACATATCATACATTCATAATGATAAATGTTTTTAAATTGTTCAACTCTGGAGGATGATGGAGAAACAATTCGTTATAAATGAAAACAGGTAAACAAAGAGAAAGAAGCATCTGTCCTGATTTTCCTTTGTAAACTATGTGAACAGTAACCAATACTAGATGAGAGGAAGTATCATCTATAAAAGTATTCTAACTATTAAATGAATGATACAATTAGATTATTGTTTTATAGCCTCAAATGAATTAATAGATATAGGCATCATATGTCAATGACTGTTAACAGCATAGAAAGAGACAATCAGATATTACATGCCTCCAACAGTCTTGCCAAAGAGACTGAACCTGAATCAGATTGAGTCTCTGGATCCAGCTGACAATTTGCAAGAAATGTAGAGAATAGAGGAATATGCATCATAACTGTGCAATCAGCAAAATCCAGACTGCGAAATTTTATAGAAGAGACAGCCCAGGATTCTTCACAAATTACACTGTAAGACAAAGAAAGGATAGAAGGAGAATCTATAGATTAAAGTAGACTAAATGACAAAATATTTTAGGTGGGCAAGACTAAACCTGTGTCAAAGAGGCACATTTGGATGATTAAACTTAAAAACCGCACAGGGAAGTGATTATTATAAGAATCAGGCTAGTGGTTACTTTTAGGAGAGAGGGAAGATGCTGTAATTGGGAAGGGACACAGGGAGAGGGCTTCTTGGTGGACAGCAAAGTTCTATTGCTTGACTTGGCAGTGGTTACAAGGTGATTTCTCTGGAAGAATTTATTAGGCCATGCATTTGTTCTGTGTGGTTTTCTATCTCTGTGCTCATTTTAAAATTAAAAAAATGTTACCATTGTTTTGGTTTGTTTTGTTTTAAACAGAGAGCCACAAACAGGAGAAACAAGTCAATCCAGTGGGAAGGAGTAGATTTAGCTTGAATCTGGCCAGGACTGGCTGACACCCACCTTCATTCAGTGAATGTTTATTGGGCATCTATTAGAGTAAGCCCTGGGGATATTGCTAAATAAAGAAAGATATTGTCTGTGTCCTCAAGGAGCCTATAGTCTACTTGGTGAGACAGATATTGATCACATTTTAATCAAACAATCACATTGCTGAATATATGATTACACGGTCAAGTATACTGAAAGAACAGCACCCAAATCCACAAGAGACACAACAAAAGAATATCCTGGGCTAGGGATAAGGGTTGGGAACTGAGCATTCAGGGAAGGTCTCCTTGATGATGGGACACTGAGATGAGGAAAAGTAGTTGACAATGAGGGATTAAGGCCATAAGGACCAAGCTATCAAAGATATTAGTAGCATAGTGGGGGAGACCAACGTTAATTCTATAATAACACTTTTTATTTACCAGTTTCCGATAGACGCTGTGAAGGAAAGTCACAAGGAACCATGGTTATGTAAACCAGGGACCCTGAGTTAGCTTGCATGGTCAAGGAAGGCCACAGGGGTGGGGTGGGGTGGGGGATGCTTTAGACTCTGAAAAAGAGCACATACTACCACAGCTGGAAGGGGCACAATGAACATGAGAGGCCAGTGTTGATTAACATCAGCTGTGCAACACAAATCTGCAGGAGGGAAAGTTAGGAGCCAAACTGTAGCTATGTGAAAGAGTTTGGTGTTCTTCCTCAACACAACAGGTTTTTCTGTTTGCTTGTTTTGGTTGTCACAACTTGGGGTGCTACTGGCATCTAATGGGTAGAGGCCAGAGATGTTAACATCTTTGGATAACACACTACAACAAAGAATTATTTGACTCAAAATGTGAGTAGGGCTGAGGCTGAGAAATCTTAGTGCAGAATATGCCAATTCCCCATGCATTATTCTTTAACAAGAGTATACTCTACGTGCCAACCAAGGGGTGGTCCCTAAACACAAGGCAGACTGTTAGAACCTCTATATCCTTTCCCTCCGCAAGGGCTCCCGGGGATGGTAGGGAAGAAAAAGATCCAGAGAACCTTTATATGGTACCAGTCATTGGCAGTTCAGGGATAGGCCAGACATGCTCACTTTTAAAGTCTGTCAACACTATAAAAGTCTGTCAACAGGACTGATGCGGTGGCTCATGCCTATAATCCCAGCACTTTGGGAAGTCAAAGTGAGAGGATTGCCTGAGCCCACAGGTTCAAGATCAGCCTGGGCAACTTGGAGACCTCATCTCTACAATTAAAAAAAAAAAATTAGCCGGGCATGGTGGTGCATGCAGTAGTTCCAGCTACTTGAAAGGCTGAAGTGGAAGGATTGCCTGAGCCCAGCAGGTCGAGACTGTGGTGGCTGGGAGCATGCCACTGCCCTCCAGCCTGGGTGACAGAGTGAGACTCCAACTCAAAATAAATAAGTAAATAAAATCTGTCAACAAAATGGCAAATACACACATACCTACAGACACAGGAAATATCAGTCTACTTCTTCCCAGAGTTGTGCCTCTCATAATTCACACGGATAAAAAACTCTGAAAATCCTGGATTATTTTAATTGCCCTTGAATTTTGACTTACTAATATGCTAGAAAGAAGGCAAAACCTTTGTCCTATATAAAAAGCTACTGTTGATATCCCAGACAAATAGAGGGCATAAATTATTGCTATGAGGTAATTTATTTGGCTTAGGTTTTAGAATTGGCTTACTTAGAAGTAATGAGCTCAGAATCTGTCGATCCCACAGATCCCTGAGCCTTCCAAGAGGGTGCAGATAAGCTTGAGGGGGCCCCCTGGGAGCTGAAGGCAGGGGCCACAGGCAGAACAGCCATGCTTTTAGCTATTTACTGGACTTAAATGATCCTATTTTAAAGAGAGTTCTGCTGCCAAAAGTTTTTTAAAAAACGCTTGAAAAACACTATATTAGCTCTTCTGTAGACTCAAGTGGTCCTAACATACTTAAGAATTTTGCTTCCTTGGGAGTACACCTTTGGAACTTAAACACTTTCCTCAGGTAATCATAGTGTTACATGGTAAACAAGTTCTTAAACTAGCCCATGACACAGCAAACCCAGAAGAATACACTGAGCTTTAACTCTGAACTTGGGGTACCCTCCTCTTCATTTATCACCTCAAAGTCAGTCCTCTGAGTCTCACCTGCCGCTCAGCCCTGTGAGAAGGGATTTCTCCCATGTCCACCTGGAAGGACTCTAAGCACAGTCCTTCCCTCTCACCCTTTCTCACTCTCCCCTCACCCCAAGCAATCTCATCCATACCTGGGGCTTTGATGATGGTTTTATAGGCTGACAACTCCTAAGTGTGTTTCTCCAGCCAAAACCTCTTATGGAGTACCACAGCCATATATTTAACTACATACTAGGCTTCTCTACTTAGGTGTCTCATAGTCAACTCAAATTCAGGAAATTCAAACTGAATTCAACATCTCCTAAAAACATGGTTCTTTTCCAGTGTTCTCTGTCTTAGAGAAGTGTATTGACATTCACCTGGTTAGGCAGGCCAGAAATCTTTCTTCATTCACTCCCACACTCAACCCATCAGATATGCTGTTGATTCTACTCTAACCACGTCTTTCCAGTACCCTCTTCCTAAGCCATGACACTATCATCTTTTGCATGAACTACTGTGACAACCTCTTAATTGATCTCTCTACAACCCTTGTTTCCTTTTAATCCTTTCTCCACAAAGCTGTCAAACCATCTTTTAAAAAATACTAATCCAGCTAGGCTCGGTGGCTCAGCCTGTAATCCTGCACCTTTGGGAGGCTGAGGTGAGTGAACTGCCTGAGCCCGTGGCTTCGAGACCCACCTGGGCAACTTGGCGAGACCTCATCTCTACAATAAATCAAAAATGAGCCGGGCGTGGTAGCGCGCGCCTGTAGTTTCAGCTACTCGGAAGGCTGAGGCGGAAGGATCGCCGGAGCCCAGCAGGTCGAGGCTGCGGTGGCCGGGAGTGGCCACTGCACTCCAGTCTGGGTGACAGAGTGAGACTCCAACTCAAAAAAAAAAAAAATACTAATCCAATTGTCACACTCTCGCTTTAAAAACTCTCAATAAACATTTCTGATTCCCTAGAGAAAAAAATTTTAAATTTTAAAATAAATAAAAAGTCTCAATAGCAATCCACTGCTCTGTGTGAAGCACAAACTCCTGTGATCCACTAAACCCTGTTAGCTCTGCTTCTTTTCTGCCTTCATCTCTGTATTGCTCTCTGCATCCCTGATACAGTGGGCTTTGTTTTGTTCCTCTGCCTCTCCTTGAGTCCAGGCTTTAGTACATGCTGTTCTCCCTGCCCAGATGCTCTTTCCCTTCTCCATCCCTTCAGCTGGCTAATTTCTGCTCATCTTTCAACTCTCAGCTCATGCTTCACCTTCTCAGGAACATCTCCCCAACCTCCTCTATTAGATACTCCCTTAGTGCCCTGTATTCTGTGTCCCTTACCACAACCGAGGAGAATAACTTCTTTCTCAATTTGTTGTTTAACAGAAAGCAAGTTCCAGGAGAGCAGGGACTTAGCACAGTAGTCTATACAAAATAGAGGAGAGAGATTACCAGGCTCCAAATCCTAACTCAGCCACTTGCCAGCTGTGTAACTGTGGGCAAGCTATTTAATCCCTTTATTTCACTTTCCCCATCTGTAGAACGGGAATGATAATAATTCCTATTTCATAGGACTATGAGGATTAAATTATTTGTCTTCTTAAACAAACCTTACAGTACTTATAACAGTGTCTGGCACATATTACATATAAATATAATCAACTGATGCTTTTTACTAGATTAAAGATCTGGAGAAGCAAAGGCCTTTCCTCCAAAGGTGCAAGTGTCTCAGGCTCAGTTTGAATCATCAATCTGTGGTCATGGTCCACTGAACTCTTTAGTGCTCATTGGTGACTTTAGGAATTTTTCTATTTAAAAAAAATTACTAGATGACACTCTAGAAAAGACAAATCTAGTGAAAAGCGCACATAATTACATTTTTCATGAAGAAAGACTTCTCAGGTAAATCCATAGATGTAATATGCCAAACATCACTCTGAGTTTGTGCTACAGGATAAAATGGCTTTTTTCCTAAAGCAGGATTTTATATACATATAAAAAAATATATATATATATATATATTTTTTTTTTGAGTCAGAGTTTCGCTGTTGCCCAGGCTAGAGTGCAGTGGCATGCTCATGGCCACTGCAGCATCGATCTGCTGGGTTCAGGTGACACTTCCACCTCAGCCTTCCAAGTATCTGGAACCACAAGCATGCGATGCCATGCCTGGCTAATTTTTTGATTTATTGTAGAGATGAGGTCTCACCAAGTGGCCCAGGCTGGTCTCAAGCAGTAGGATAACATTCTAATCCTGAACTTCTCTATGTGAGACCTCCAACCAGCCAAGAGGATGCTGGGACTCCTCTCCACTGGGTGACCCACTGATTCTGAGTATGCTCTCATATGTGCCTGTGTGGCCAGGGAATTGCTGAAGGCCACTCTTCTCATGTCAGGCTACTCTGAAGACCCTGTAACTCCAGAATAGGAGGATATAACATATCGAATCCTTTTGAGAACTTCACAAAAACTACAAACTGTTCTCCAAAAACATGCTCACATGCAATCTCTAACATTTTGCATATACTTTCAAGGGTTTTTAGATTCCCTTAAGCCATTAATAGTTCTTGAGTTAAAAACTTTGGAATTACACAAATAAACTGCTTATAAGAAATGGACCAAAACAGCACTCTTTCTCCTTAACATTAGTAAGTGTCAGAGCAACAGGCCACTTAGCTAAAAGGCATCAGGCTTGTGGCAGAGTTCTGCTCATCATACCACTACTGGCTAGTGAGATCTGCTCTCACTCTGCAGAGTGAATGCTGGCCTCCTTGGGAATATAGAGGTGGCCACCATTGTACTGCCTAAGATCTACAATATGGTACATGTGCAGGTGTGCATGGTGTCAGCCTCTCCCATGCTTGGGGTCATGACAGAGTCATGTCCACGCAGGGGAGACAAACCAAGCTAGTGCAGAGGTTAATCATGGCATACTGCCTAGTCAACTGGATCATGGAGACACTTGGCTTAAACAGCTCAGGTGTCTTAGTAAAAATTAGGGAGAAGGGGTTGTTGCTCCTTTTACTAGGTATGGAGTCTATACTATAGACACAGCTTCCTCTTCTTTAAAATATAAGGTTCTGGCTGAGAGACTACCAACTGAAGTCAAGGCCCAAGTGTTTCTTTCTCAGTGCTGGGGTCCCCTGCGGCTGCAGGAGACAGACACCTTACCTGTCTGAGAGCTGCCCCGAAATGAAGGAGCCCATCAGCACACCCACGAAAAACAAGGAGATTGTGAGTGGCGCCTTCCAGTCGTCCTCACATACCAGGTTCCACTGCAAGAGGAGCAAAGGGGTGCATCACTCACTTCTTTTAAAAAGGCTTTAAATTTAAGGCTTCCTGGAAAATGAAATCAGAACATCCTGTATCCCTGTATGTTCTGGGTGTATGAACTCATTTAGATAGGCGATGGGTGAGCTGGGCAGCAAGACAGAGAGCAGGCTGCCTCTTGCAGGGAAAGCAGGATCCTTCCCAGTCTGCTTTTCATAGCTTTGTGGGTCCCATTGTCTTGCTTCCATTTTGAGGTAGAAAGACAGGCAGGGAACAAGTATTCTGCCCACATGCTAACCCCGGATAAGGCAAGGCCTCTCATGTTTGCCTAAAAATCTGAGCAGAGCCTAGGCCTGAGGAAGAGGCAGGGTGCCCTTGCTCAGTGGGGTAAAGTCCATTCCCATGAATAGCAAAGGAGCAGTTCTGGGGCTCCAGGGGTCAAGACATCCAGAAAGGGACTGAGGACAGGGCCCAGAGTACACCATCTAGACCTGTTCCTTCAACTCTGACCTGGGTCCTTCCTATGGCATTTAGAGCTGGAATCCCTGATTTTGCACACCAACAATACTAGACCTAATTATAGCAGAAAGCTCTGAGTTGGGAGTTAAGAAACTGGGTTTCAGTTCCCACTCTACTATCAACTGGTTGGCCAACCTCTCTCCAATATTGCACCTTCATTCCCCATATGTAAAAATAGAGATTGGGGTAGGGAACAGGCTGCACTGCTTGAGTTTCCAGCATGCAATGTGTGGTTCCAGCTATAGTTACCATGAACAGGAAAAGAGGTCTGCAGGCTAGGAGAAGCAACCAGACACTCAGGCAGCCCCAGCCTAGCGCAGCGTCAAAAGAAGGAAGAAAGCCAAAACAGGAAACTTGGTGGTTCCCAGAAAAATGTTCCCAGCATGGAGATGGCGTTCATAGTAACCTTTGCAGTCTTCTCACATGACCAGTTGCCCTCCTGGGAATCCAGACCCTTGCCTGCTTGGCGCCAGGCTGCTGGCCTGCCCTCCACGGAGCCTGTTGGCTCCTCACTAATGAACACAGGCAGGGGGAATGTGTGGCTTAGAACAAAGCATCTCCTCTGGGCAGCAGAGAGAAAAGCAAGTCTGCTTCTCTGCCCTGCTGTGCAGTATGTGCACACAGCCTCTGGGCACCTCTCAGAAGGGTTGGAGGGCAGCCCACAGGCTGGACTTGAAGGGCCCCAACAGTCAGGCATGCTGCTGGCTCTCCATTTTAGAATAAGCATGCACGTGGAAGGGCTGAAAGTGGGGTGGCGATCCCCAGCCCAGGGAAGAATTGGGGGTACCCAACTTCCAAATCCAGAGGAAGCCCAGACTAACAGGAGTCATGAGTATCAGTTGCTGCAGACTTTCCACCTGTGCAGCCTTGGAGGTGCTAGCATCCAGATACTGGCTCTCTGGTAGATAGGTGAGTGCTCCTGGGGCAGCCCCACCCACACACAGCTGCTAAATCCAGCACTGGGATTGGTGATGGAGATAAAGCTGAGGGAACTGATGATGGGGTGCCAGCCTCTGGGTGTTAGGCCAAGCTTCCAGGGCTAGATTATGACTATTGTCATTCTAAAGTATGATGAAATCTATTTCCCAGTTAGCAAGTATTACTTTGTAGCAAAAAATAAAAAATAAAAATAAAGAAAAAAATAAAAGGTCAGAAGCTGTTTCTCAATAGACTAGAAATCCACATGGGCTTCTGCAGTGAGTTCTGGAGTTGCAGACCCCAGGACAAGTCGTTCTGTATCAGGCTTCTAGGGAATCCCAGGCTGGCAAGGCGGGGTGCTAAGACCAGGTCAGATTATGCCCTGCAGGAGATAGGGTGACTGTAGTGCTCATCTTGGGACAGCCTGCAGAGAACCTCTCTGGTTCCCTCAGCTTGGCAGGTCCAGCCTGTCCTTATCTAGGCAGGTATGTAACTTCTTGGAGTAACTGTGCCCTCCACCCACCACTGACAGTCCTTGACAACTCTCTGGCCCTGGCTTAGGCCCTCCAAAAGCAAACATGTATTAACACTTCTTTCCTACTGGCAACAAGGGGTCTCTGTGACTAGGTCTGGAAAGGTGATAGGTCTCAAAACTGAACATAAGGGCAGGCACAGATTGGGCTCCCCATGCCAATCTGTCCACCTACCTGTCAACCACCAGCTGGATCCTCCTTAGAAGGGGTGAGATGAGAAGCCCATAGAATCTGGTCTAAGTACCTGCTGCTTAAAGTAACTACAAAGGAATCTAGTGTTCCTATACTTACCTCCTGGCTCCTCAGCTATGACTAAAGCTGCTTACTGATGCCTCTACTTGGCACATGGGATGGGCTGTACTAGCTGATGACAACAGGTATCGATCATAAAACTGAACATGTGGGTTTAAGATTCAGGTTATAAGGCTAGTGTTGTTACCCCCCAGCTGGGTGAGCTGTGAAAGCAGCTCCAACCTGAAAAAAAATCTGGGAATGCCTCTAGCAAAGGGCCTAGACTTGCCCATCTTCCTGGTCATAAATGTGGGCCAGGCGTGGTGGCTCACACCTATAATCACAAAAGTTTGGGAGGCCAAGGTGGGAGGATCGCTTGAGGTCAGGAGTTCAAGACCAACCTGGACAATATAGTGAGACAAAAAAAAAAAAAAAATTTAATTAGCCAGGTATGGTGGTATCTATCTAGTCCTAGCTGCTGGGAGGCTGAGTTGGAAAATTGCTTGAGCCCAGGAATTTGAGGCTGCAGTGAGCTATGATCACACCACTGTACTCTTAACCTGGGTGACAGAGCAAGACCATGTCTCAAAAAAAATTTTTTTTAATGTGCTTTCCTAATGGTGATGGTTTCCTGTTGTGTCATGTTTCACTTTTTAGATATACATAGTTTTGATGTTATTTATACCTTAATAAAGCTGTTAAACTTTTAAAAAGATGGAGAATTGTGTCTCTTATACCTCATACATAATTGGTGCTGTTTTTCAGTTATGGAAAGTACAGAGATGACACAGTTCTCTGGAACTAAATGTTCTTACCTGTGAATTGGCTGGAAGGGAAAAGAGATAGGGTCTGTTCCCATAAGGCAGAAGTTCTTCCTTGAGAAGTACATAGCCTGACCGCATCAACAGTCAAATGCATTAGTAAGCACCACATGTTACTGATTGCCATACATTCCTACACACATTTCATCCTGCCTCCTGCTGTGATTAATGATGATTCCTTGCCCCAAGGCTGTAAGGGCAAAGAGAAAAGGTATTTGCCATGATGTCCTCTATAATGTCTGACAGTGCCTGACACAGAGGAAAGTCTCGGGTACATAGATGAGTGAGTGAACAGATAAATAAAAAGGCATCAACCTTCAATATTACATATATTTTGAGGTTGGTCCTTGTTTGGCTGCCCAAAGGCTAGATGACTCTTGAAATTCATTCTCTAGAATAAATTTATTTTCTTTGCTCCCTCACCCCCTGCTTTGTATCAACTGTCAGAACTTTGATCCAGAGCTCCTCTTAGAAAGGAGTTCAATCTCATTCACAGTAGGCCCCAGAGCCTAGCAAGTGGCTTCTCTGCCTTGCCATATACCTGCAAAGGCATTGATTAGGGTCTGCACTTCCCCTAAGTAAGAGAAATCAGCAAAGGCATAAGTGAGACATAATTTCCAGGTCTTTGTGGTCTCTCCAGCGCAGAGTCAGTCCTCTCCCTACCTCCTAAGTTGCTGTGGCTTTTCTTCCAGGCAGGGTTATGGTCAACTGTGGGGGCTCTCCTATCATTCAGGACTATCTCTGCACATGAAACAGGGCTGATAGAAAAGCTAGTCCAGGAAAGTAAGGAGTGAGTGGGAGTCCTAAGGACTGAACCAGGGGGCTACAGGGAAGCAGAAATAGGCTGAGAGTAAGATGATGCAGAGGACTCTCAGGTCAAAGCTGAGGGAGTCTCAACTCATGGGTGCCAGCTTAGAAGTTTCTACAGGAAGTTTTCTGCCTGCAGGCTGGGCTGAGCTATGGTGAAACCAAAAAGCAGGTGACCCAGGTGACCTGAGAAATTACCCAGGTTCCCAGAGGAAGGGGCAGTCCTGGACCAAGAAGCACTGCAAGAGGAGGTTGGCTGATTCCCCAGAACCCCAGGTATGAATGAGGGGCCAGGAGGGGATCTGCCTAGAAGCATGTGGACTATCAAACTATTCCTTAAACTTAGGGGCACAAACCTCTTTTCACTTCATAAGTAATGTCCTCCTCTTTCTATGAATCCCAACACCTTGTTCCAGATGCACACGGTGCCAAGTCTCAGTCAATAGGGTGGGAAATCACATTTCCTTTAAATATTTCAGTAAATCCTTTTGGCCACCCCCAAATTTCTCTTTTAAGAACGAAACTGTCAATTTTTCTTCAGTTCTCAAACTTTAGAGAAGATTTCTTAAATTCCATTAATCTATTCAATATAAATTTTCCTGAGAACCTCCGTCTCCCTCTTGAGGAACAGGAGAAGATCTAAATCTACCACAAGTTTAGTACTACATGTACATACTTTAACTTGTACAAAGAAAAACAAACAGGAGACCTGAAGTTGTAGTCTTTGGTTGAAGAATATGAATAGTAATTCAATACTAGTGTACTTACAAACACCTTTATTTGTGATTTGGGGCAGAGGGCAGGCTTGGAGACATTTAGCAGGCACGGAACTAGCTGCAGTGGTGAGTGGGCCAGGTCTGGGTTGAAAGAAAATGGGCCTTAGAAAAAGCCATCAGAATGTTGATGCAGCAGCTTCCAACAGTAACTGTTCACCTAAGAAGAACAAGTAGCTTTGAACTTAAAGTCAGGCATTCCAGCATCCCGAAACAAAGAGCTAAGTAAAATATTAATCTTGCCTCCCTGTAAAGATTTACAACCTCTAAGTAGGTGAAGAGGCACACTTTTACAAAACTGCTAAGACAGCTAAATAAATAGTCGAAGTGTGTGTATGTGTATATATACATATAGATGTATATATACACACACATTTATTAAACAAACAAACAAACAAAAAAAGTCTGACATTGGCAACAAGGTAAGGTTGGCCCCTCTGGCACAGTTGGCCTTTGAGAGATCATCAATGCCACCATCTGAAGGCAGGATAGGGGAAGCAAAGCAGGAGCAAATGACTAGAGTAACCCACAGGGCTCAGGGTAAAACCCAAGAGATGTCACGGGCTTCATCTGACTTCACTGCCTCCCTCTTCTTTGGGCAGCCACAAGTAGAATTTGTAGGGACTTCTGAGCCATGCTCCCCTCTGTGGCCTCTGACTGCAACCCCAAAGGCAGCCACTGCTTTCACAGTTCTCACTGGCTTCCAGAAAGGTAACAGATGCAGGATTTATGACAACTAAAGGTTCCAATTCTCTGTGGATTCATGGGCCACAAAGCACAGCTGGTTGCCTCTTTTGTCAAGTATTGATGCATGCCTCAGGACACTGAAATGATATCACAAACTGAGAAATCCCAATGAGGTTTAGGTCACACTTCCACTACATTTTGGAGTAAGCAGGTACTGGTGTTGGAGACATCAAATTTCTAAACATAGAGAGAGAACACGCATGTGCACACACACTTGAGCCTCCCAGAGCACTCTCAGACTCTCCTGAAGGATGATAACCCCCATAAGTAACAGTTAGGACCTCCAGAGTCCTGTAAGCCCCTTTGAGGCTCCAGGAGGGAAACTCAGTACCCATGTCCAACAGGGTTTGATGCCATTCCAGGACCTATGGCATTCCTCCTTAAGTTCTCCTCCCATGAACTCTGCCCTCCTGCTGGGCAGTTTCTTGCCGTTGCACCTCGGCCTTCTGCACAGTATTCTGCTAAGTTGAACACCCCAGACTCACTGTAAGGCCTCCTCCTTCAGGAAGCCTTTGCTAACCCGCAAATCCCTAATTCTGACATTCAGTGAACCTGGTGGCCTGGTGTCCATGAGGGCTCTTCACTAGCCTGCTTTACTCAGTTCGCTGAAACTCCAGGGAGTTAAGAGTGCCAGTGTCTTGAGTAACACACAAAGAACATGCACCATTAACATCATATCCAGCTTGCTCCAAGGATTCACTAAGGACAAAGCTACTCAAAATAAAAAATCCAAGGGACTGAGAAACAAGAAAGGTTTTTCCCACAGCCTATGAACTAGGGTTGTATGTTTTAACTAAATGTGGCCAAATATACCAGGTCAATAAGTCACCCTGAACAGATCTTCAGATGACTGATCCCAAAGGACTGATAACTGACTATGCTAAAAGGTAAACAATTTCTTACAGAGCATGACCAGACTGTCATTTTAGGTTAAGAATGCGTTGGGAAAAGAGTAATTACAGGAGAGAGAAAAGAGGCGCTTTTATAGACGATACTTCTTTTAACTTTAAAAGTTCAGGAAAGAGTATTTTCCTCTCTTTCAGAACAGATGCCGAGAGACTGGAGGAAAAATGGGGATAATGCCTTGGTGCAATCCCTGGCTCTGCTCCTCACCACTCCCAACCCCATCTAAAGGAAGTCCTGGACCTCTCAGGGCCTTAGAGCATGTCTCAAGAGCCGCCAGCCTCTCTCTTCAATGTGGCCGTCAGGATGGGAGGCCAGACTGCCACCTGTGCTGTAAGGGGAATACTCCGGCTAGTAAGTCTCCTCCCAAAGGATTCCTGAGTCACCAGGCTGGAGGATCCTCATCACCAGGCCCTGGGAGGGGGCAGAGCGGCTTCCTGGACCGCGACGGTTCCCTCTGCGCCCCAGCCTCGGCCCGGCGGGGGCTGGCACCCACCTCGGTCACGACGGTGGACAGGTAGATGTCCTGGCTGAACTCCCAGCCATCCAGGCAGCTCTCCTGCTCCAGCTGCTCCAGGTCCACGTCGCGCCCCGGCTCCAGCCCGAGCGCCGAGAGGTTGGCGATGGTGGCGAGCCGGTAGCGGCGGCAGCTGTGGGGCACCTCGCGGCCGTCCTGCAGCCGCAGCGGGACGCTGTGGTTGCGCCAAGCGCTGCTCAGGTTCGCGGTGTCCGGCACCCGGCAGCGGTGCTCCGGGGTCGCTATCAGGAACACGGACGACAGGCCGTTGAAGCCGTTGGGGATGATGCTGGCGCTGAGCAGGAAGAAGACGAGGCGCTGGAA